TTTTTTTTTTACCAATATTGAAACAAATTCCACATTTCCAAATAAAAGTCCATACTGCCCAGTCCTGACACATTCACTTAAAAATAGATGAAAAAAATAAGATTGAGAATCTAAAACAATTTTTTTTACCCTTTAAAATGTTATAAGTTTTCAATCCCTCCCTCCCTTTATCCACCCATCCATCACTCACTCACTAACTCCCTTCCTTTCACTTTCCCTTCATCCATCCATCCATCCATCCATCCATCCATCCATCCATCCATCCATCCATCCATCCATCCATCCATCCATCCATCCATCCATCCATGGTGATATTGTCGGCTATTTTGTAAGGTATAACTTGGAATTACGGAGGGTTTGTTCATTCCATTCTTTCAATTTCACTAAACCTGATGCATGAGTTTGTTCCCAAACGGGATAAAAATGTTTGTAGCAAATCCATACAATTAACTAGACTGAGTGAATTGACCTTCACTGAATTCGAAAGGCTTAATATGTTTAAAAAGATTTTTTTTTTGTTTTTTTGTTTTGGCTTTTTAAAACTGTACGTTTTTACCTCGTGTTAAGCTTTTTCTTTTTTCCCCCCTTTCTTTCCAGGTGCTGCGTCAGCTCAGAGGTCTTGTTTGGGTCTCCAATGTTGATTATGTGTTGGACAAGCTGAATACAGTGTGTGTAGCAGTGGCTGTTGAAAGATCAGCGACTCCAGATGTTGGTGGATTCAGCCTGTGCGCACTTCAAACTTTACTAAAAATGTTGTTGATTTGGTTTTGTTTTATTGACTGGACTGGAGTTAAGATCTTCAAGATTCCGCCCAGGACTGTTTATTTTTCTAGCAAAGTAACACCCAATGAGACCTTCAGAGGCTTGCAAAGAAATCTATAAACACATAAATAATCTGACATACATAGTTTACAGAGACGCATGCATATGTAAATGCAACACACGCACACACACACACGTTTTGCTAGTTCAAAACCAAAGCCTGGAAGATGTTCTCTCTGCCATGCAGGGTTATAATATGTCCACGGCCATAAGGGGAACATAAACAGACTGAAAACTCAAACAGTGAAAAATACAAACCGCAGGACCACAGCTTTCCCTCTTTCATGTGCTGCCCAAAGCTGTAAGAACATTCTTTTGGGATTCAAGTCATCGATGAGTAGAAACAAGCCAACTCAGGGCCCATGAGTGCAGAAGCTGTCGGAGCAGAGCTGACCTCAGGCCAGATAATAATAAGGAACATTTGGGACACGCTGCCTTACTTTCTAGCCTGTGGTTGCTGCTTCCAGAATGGTGCTTAAACTGACTGCTTGCACTTCCCCCAGAAGGTTATACCTGCTATAAGGCAAAGCTGTCCTGTAAACAGTGGATTCTGAAGAGGAACACTCAGGTTCATCACTGAAAAAAAGGTCATAAAAGGTCAAAAGTGAAAGAGATGGCTCCCTTACATCCAGCTCCAGTCAGCACCAATTTCCATGAGGAAACCTGTAGATTGTGGAACTGCTGTGAAGATTTTTTTAAAAGCCAGAAGAGTAAAAAGGCGCAACTGTCCAGATTTCTTTGTAGTGTTCCAACCAATCAATGTTTCCAAGAGTTCCACAAACACCTGTTATGTAATATATATATACTGTTGATATGTACATGACTCTCAATTATTTTATGTAGTCTTATTATTTTTTTGTGATAAGCTGTCATTTTTTTTACTCTCTGAAGCAGCTTGAACAGTTAATGTACTTAGCAGTTTTCAAATTATTTAAAAAGGATATAAACTGCTCTGGTCTATTGTGGTGATGGCTGCAACAACGAACTTTATACCCCATAGATGGTTATAACTGAAAAGCTAAATGAATGTGGATATAAAATGAATTTTGGTCTTTTCTTCCCCTTTTTTCTCCTTCATACATATTGTTCTAGATATATCAGGCTCCAGGTCGGTTTGCCTCTTTGGTTAAAATAAACCCTAATTTCATGCCTAAGTGATATCATTTTGTAACCATAAACAAACCTTTTTCTACCCATGTACCAAAGAGTACGGTACATTCAATTTATTTTGGTTATTAATTGGAGTATAATGACATGTCCTGCTCAGGAAAGATGAGATTTTAAGAAGACTAAGAAAATTTTATTTTTAATTTTTGGGTATTGAATGAGGGGTTCACAAATAAAAAAAAAACCCTTTAAAATGTTTTATTTTTTTTTTAAATAATATTGCTGTCCAGGTTGACTAGTCCATAAATTGGGGTTTACATGCTTATCTTATTTTAATGCAGTGTTTGCAAATAATAAGAATGCAAAATCATCCAATTCTTTCCAAACTAAAATCCAAAACTGTTATAAAGAATATTTGATAAATTGTGCTGCAAAACCAATCTGTCTAAATCCTTGGTGTCCAAAGTCAGTGTTTATACCCCTGAATCTCTGAAAACAACAGAACAATTTAAGAACAAATTAGTTAAGTATTCCAAAACATGAACCAGTTAATGTTTTAAGAAATACTGAATGTTTTCAGCATTTTTTTCCATTTAGAAAATGGATTTGACTTTGTGCATGACAATGAACCTAAAGGTACCAGTATTGTTTGTTAGTGCGGGTGCAACAATTGCACCTTAAAAAAAATTGACATCAATGAAACAAGAAGTACTGAACTGCCCGAAATATAACACTCAAATTAAAACAAAAAGCAACGACATCTCTTTCATATCCATGTTTCCACTGACCAGCGATCTCCCAAAATTAAGGAAATCAAGGCCAAAATAGCGGCCAATCAATCAATTGGTGCCTTCCCCTATTTTTCAGTGACCTTTTTCTCATTTCGTTAGGTTGTAAACAATATCTTTCACTACACCTTTTTCCATGAATGCAAATCTCCCATAGAAAAAAATTATTTATTTTTTTGTGAAAAAGTGCTACCCACCCATCTATCCATCCACCCATCTTCTCCTATATTGTTGGTTATTTTGGAAGTTAAAGCTTGGATTTATGGAGGGTTTGTTAAATCCATTCTTTTAATTTCACTAAAGGAGATGCATGTTTTTTTTCCGGACTTGAAAAAAAATATTTTTATTTAATCCATGCTATCAACTACACTGAGTGAATTGACCTTCAGTGAATTGGAGTGGATTAATATATGGTTTAAAAAGTTTTTATTTTTATTTAGCAGACCCCTGTTCTAGAAAAACCATCAAACATAATGTCACATTTAATTTATTCAGTTGTTATATAGTTGATACTATAATTGCACTTCCTTTGCAAAATGAATTCACATGCAGCTTATAATGGAGATTTAATACTAGGAGATCTTGTGCCACAAGATCTCATTACCCTTACACTGATGACCTCATTGCATTATGTGGATAAACAATCATAGAAACGCTCAAACATCATCCTTAGAACACGTTGCTCATTGATTGTGTATAAGAATCAAATTAAAATAACTGACTTAACTTTGCAGATATTCAAATTAATATAAATTTCCATTAAGCCAATTGCAGAAGAAATCTTTTCATCATAGGTCATAAAACATCAGAAAAAGTGGGTACGGTTCAGCGCATAGCTTGTACAAAATGTTTCCTTTTTTTTCTTTCACTGTTCTCTAAGACAAACCAAATCTGCAAATCAAAGTATGAAATGACCAGCCACTGATTTTGCATGTACTTAAAACCTGTTACCCCTCCAAACATGTTGGGGGGGTGTTCTCAACATACCCTTTAAAGTTGTAAATATGTTAATACTTCTTTGCAAAAATATGCATATAAAAATATCTTCTGATTTGAATCTAGCTTTAATTCATTCTGTATTACAGGATTATTTATATTTTATATTTTTTTCTGGGAAGAAAAGGCTTTATTTCCCACTTGAAATATTGAAGTTTTCTTGCTCTGATGTGATTCCAATCAAAAGTTGTTTTTTTTATACTGCAAACTTTATTGACTAAGACCTTATAGACATACAGTATAAAGGTCTGCCTATGCAGGTTGAAAGAAGAGAAAGTGAATGCAACACTACACCCACATTATTCTCTGAAGTTTCCTCTGACCATAGACTGAAATATTCACTAGCTGAAGGCTCCTGTTCTCCATTTACCTGAACAGGAGTAAAGGGATCTGCCATCACTTAAACCTCCTAGCTCCATTAACTGGTCATGCTTCACAATGTTATCTAATTACAATCCAGGGCAGTACCTACTTCCTTACCTTTTTTTGTTATTTTTGGGGACAATTTTTTGTCAACTCATCTGGCACTTGCATTGAATACATTATAAACCTTTATCTTTTTTCATTTTCATATAGTCACATGTGATGTAACATTTGTCAAATTTAAGATATGCTACGTCTCTTGGTTGTCTTCCATTAAATGATAAAACCCTTCAAGATTTTCTTTATAAGAGTAAAAAAAAAGGAAATAGAGTTGAGGTCTTTAGAATAAGAATTATTATTTATGACTGCCAGTTTTTACACCTTCATAGTTTTATGTTAAAGGGGAATATTTTTATTACACTTTTTCACTACAGTGAAACAGATTATGATTTCATATCACATTTGCCATATAAACAGATTTTTTTCAGTTTATATCTTCAATTCCTTGCAAATATCATTCTAATTGGGGCGTTTTATTTTTATATTTCAGCTAAAATATTAATTTTTTTTTTTTTATGTGATAGATAAACACAACACCTTGACCTTTGTGTTCCCATTTGGTGTTTCCCTTATTCAGGGTTCGCCATAGGAAGTCAATATAAATGTCACACAGGAGTTTTACTACGGACGACATGTCCGATGAAACTTGGATTTAAAATCAGGTTCTCTTCATCAAAAACCCGGAATGACCCTACTACTGTACACCACATAGGAACTAGAACAGCTTTACCCACACAGGCATTGGTCATACACACTGAAGACAGTTGGTATTACTGGATTATTTTTCAAAAGAATGTCATGTTTTTCAGATTATTAGTCATAAATAAAGAACAAAACTAGGTTTCATTTAAATTCCATACCTGAATTGAAAACTGTTTTTTGTAGCCTGACATATTTCGATAAAACAAAATTGTTTTGCTGAGACAAAATGTAAAGATGTTTTACATTTCTGCTTATTAAACTGGTTTTAAGACACGGAGAAGGTCATTCAAGCAAACATACGTTTTATTTCTTTATTTTATAAGAATAAGTCACATATATTTGAGAAATTTGGCTTATCACAATTCGTTTGATATCATACACCTATTTGTATCTGGCTTTATTTTGAAGCACATTTTATTGTTTATTGTTAATAGAAACTATCATTAGTATCGCCCATGGTAGAAAAGTCTGCTTTTTTACCTTTGAGAGACCCAAATTGGTGACTCAATTTGTTCTTATGCTCCACTGATATTTAGTAGATAAAAATTGTACCTCCTTCAGACAAGGGCCAAATTTTTACCCACTGTAACTGATTCATTCTACATAAATTGTGTTCTGGGGAGGTTGTTTAAGCACTCATGCTTAACAATGTCCTTTTCAATATTTTGGCCTCTAAATGGCCATCCTTTCAGGGTGAGACTCTGTCTTTCCACCTATTTACAGTCCTTGCCAAGAAGGACAGAAATGGGAAGGTTGAAACTGGTTTTGGGCTGCAGACTAGCCCTGACAAAGGATGTCAGTCATTACAAAAATACACCCTTTTGTTTTTTATTATCTCACTATTCATGCAGAGGGCAATCTGTGGACTAATTTAATAACTGCCTTCTACAACTAGTTCAAAACCGGAAATAAAGTTTGAAGTGAAACCCATCTGTATGTATCCAGCTTTTTTCCTACAGTCCCCACTGATTCTGTATATTTTCAATTGTTCACATATTTGCTTGAGGGCTGCTCAGAGGTAGCAGTAAAGAACACATAGTTTTGGATTGTGAGGCTTTCTTGAAGGTTCGCTTACCTCCTCAAATATTGTAAACATACAGTACATAATTTAGATGGATGCCATCCTAAATTAAGTTAATGCAACACTTCGTTTAAGGTCGGATTTGATCTGAGCGAGAGATCAGACTGACATGACAACATCTACATCCTGAAAGGCAATGAAACTTCATTTGGGGAGCAGCTGGTCAGCAGCTAAACCAACCCAGGCGGATGCAGCTGCCCAATCCACCGTGTTCAGCCGCCGGATGCAGTTCCCAAACTGGCAACTTACAAGAGCACTGTTGTTTTATATTGAATGCAAGTCATTCTAGATTATGAAAACAGCCCTATGTCCATAAAACAATCAGTTGACTGAAACCATGATTTAAAATCTATCTTGTGTCATTTGAGTTCAGCATCCAACACTAACTCTATAGACATTTAATGAGTACAGCTGGTATCTGGGTGGACCTTATTTTCTCCTTCTTGAATTGTTAAAATTCACACAAAAAAAGCTAAATATTTCTTGTCAATACTTTTATTTAGCAATTCATTTTTTTTTACTTGATGATTATGGCCTATAAGTAATGAGAAACCAAGTCAACAATAATGTACCATTATTCTTATTTGATTATTAATGTTATTTATTCATGTAATATATTATAATTAATAATCTATCCTTCTAATAAAGGGTAATAATCAAAAAGATATATTTTAGATGATTTGAATTAACAGTAACCAGCTGTTAACGATTACAATTAACCTATTTTTAACCTGTTTTGGACCCAGAATTGAAATAACCACTTTTAAATGTCAACTTTTTTTTTTTTAAATAATAACTAACTAATTAACTGAACCAAAAGAAATGTCTCTATATAATCAAACTGTTAACTGTCAACACTAGTCAACTGAGACAACAGATCACTGATATAAAATAACAATAATCTCATTTTATATTACTAACAGTTATTAAATAAATCATTTTCTGTCAAAAAAAAATCACACTGTTCAATAATATTCCTAGAACTCGCTAAGCTACCAAAACAAGAAGATGGCACCACCAGATGATGCCACCTTCTCAGAGCATGGTGTGCAACATGTAGCTACAGTATGAGGCTAAATGGCTTCCTGCTCAGACAATAGGCTAACAGAGCAAAGGATGGCTACCTTTTATAGACAAACAACACAAGATTCAAAATTAGAGAAAATGAAGCAAAAAGAGGAATTTAGCTTATTTTTTCATAGAATGAT